CAACACAGGCGTGTGCTGGATCAACACAGGCGTGTGCTGGGCCAACACAGGTGTGTGCCGGACCAACACAGGTGTGTGCTGGATCAACACAGATGTGTGATAGACCAACACAGATGTGTGATAGACCAACACAGGCGTGTGCTGGATCAACACAGGCATGTGCTGGGCCAACACAGGCGTGTGCTGGATCAACACAGGTGTGCGCTGGTGGTAATGGACCAACACAGGTGGGTAATGGGTCAGCACGAGGCAGCTGAGCCGGGCAGCAGTTCTGGACACTCCCTGGCCGCCTGAAAGGGCCATTTCTTGCTTAAAATCCTTTGCTACTTCAGACTTACATTTTTTCCAAATTTGAGAACCATTTTTTCAGCATTAATGTGGTCCAGAAAATTCGGATGGTTCTTTCTTCTTCGGTAATCTTCTTCGGTGAATGGAACCTCCGAATCTTCCTAAAAGAAAAATGACAATGCTGCAGAAGACAGAGCTACAGAGGCTGTCTGAGGATGCTCGTTTAGGCTCATGCTTGCTCAAAGCCACTACTTACTGTCACAGTGGTTTAATAGTGGAAAATGCTTTAAGCGAGCCCAGTGCTATCATTTACACCTAATCCAGACAAAAAGAAAACGTGGCTATCTTCTATTTCGTAGAGATAGTGACAAGTTTGTTATTATGATCCCATAAGGGCATGAAATGTCATTTCTTATTTGCTGCCATCATGAATGAAATGGTGATTTGTTTCCTCTTTCCTATGCTGCCCTTTCCCCGTCAGTCAATCATACAGTAATAAGAACATTCCAGGTGCAACCTAATATCTAGGGCCTTGAAAACTGGTCACAGGGGGGCCCTCCCAGGTGGCACAGTGGGTTAGAACACAGCACTGCAAGCAAACCACAGCACCTCAATGTGAGTTCGATCCCCGGCCCCGGAGGTGACCCCATGGCGCGGCAGACCTCTCCTTTCTGCCCTCAGCAGTGGACTTCGTCAGTCGGCCTGTTCTGCTCCCCACTCTGTCTCTGGTGAGTCCTCTCACCGCCTCTGCACCTCTGGCTTGTACCCCAGTTCTATATGCATAAATAAATACATCTTAAAAAAAAAAAAAAAGAAAATTGGTTTCAGGAGATAAGTGGAATATCAATCCTGGAGACCAGGGGTGGAAAACATTACCCCAACGGTCCATCTCCACCTCTCCCGGGACAGTCGGGAGGATGCATCCAGAAGGTAGAGGTCCTAGTTGGAGCAGACAGTGTTGTGCTCACTGTCTCGAGTCTTCATACCACATTGTTGGTGCTAAGTATCCGCCGAAGCACCTTTACATGGACTCAACCTACAGGCAGGAGGAGCACAGGGATGAGACGCTTGAGGTGGCATCCAGTTGCCAGGTTTGAGAGATGGGAAGAAGGGCCCGAATGGTCACAGCCAAGTTGGGAATGGGGCGGGCTGCTGTGGGCAGGGACCAGGTTACCAGGCTGAGGAGGTTAGGTTTGGTCTCAGAGCATCAGAAGGGCTCTCGGCATGTTAAGCAAGACACAAAGATGATCCGAATTAGTATTTTGACAAGAACACTTGGGCTGTTCCTTGTGGTTGACCAGGTGATGGTTTTTCAGTAGCCCATGGGTACGAAGAGGAAAGGCAGACTGAAGCTACATTTTGGACAGTGAATGAGGAGAACGTGCTGGTGGGCGGGTGCTGGGTGGAAGGGCGAGGCTGGAGCAGCCTAGCGAGTGCAGCCTCATCCTTCAGCTTCGAGGGAGGTCAGGAGCCCAGGGTCTTCCTCCACCACCTGCCTGCACATGGACACTTGCTGTTCTTCTGGATGAAGCCTGTTAGCTAAATAGATGATCACCCCCAATTACCAGGGGGCCTCATGTACTCACAGTGACCTCATGAGAACCAGTTCGTGGGATCCTACCACGTGTATGTCACGGGAGGCACCTGCTGGGTCTCACAGACCGAGCCACCCTCTGGTCCTTGCGGCCGCTTCCCGGTTGATGCTCCTGTTGATGACACTGTTCTGTGTCTCCTGCCTCATGGAGAGCGTGCCCGGTTGGGTGGAGAGTCCGTTTCTGTTTGATTGTTTGTTTAAGATTTATTTATTCATGCACACAAGAGCCAGAGGGGTATAAGCCAGAGGTGTAGGTGTGAGAGGACTCAGTGGAGACAGAGTGGGGAGCAGAACAGGCAGATTGAGTGAAATGCACTGCTGAGGGGAGCAGCAGGGAGACAGGAGAGGTCTGCTGCTCCATGTGGGTCACTCGCTGGCTAGGAATTGGACCCAAGCTGCAGTGGCTGCTGACAGCCTCGTAGTGCAGTGCTTTAACCAGCTGCACCACTAGGAAGGACACAGAAGGCCCCCTTTTTAAGGATTTTATTTATACATACAGAATTGGGGTGCAAGCCAGAGGTGCCGAGGTGGTAAGAGGACTCGCCAGAGACAGAGTGGGGAGCAGAACAGGCAGACTGAGGAAGTGCACTTCTGAGGGGAGCAGCAGGCAGGTCAGGAGAGGTCTGCCAGGCGCCATGTGGATAAGCTCCCTAGCTGGGGATCCAGCTTGCACTGAAGCAGCTCCAGAGGGTCCGTTTTTAACTATATTTTCCCCACAGCCCACAGGGGCTATCAGCCATTTTTTGAAGCCCTCTGAGAGAAGGCCGTGTACGCCATCTTTTTCCTCTTTACCCCAGCATGTGTTTTCTAGGGCTGTTGCTCTACATAACCACGGGACAGTTATAAAGTTCATACTAAGGCAAAGATTTTACCCACTGGTCATATCGCAGTCCTGGAATGGGCCATGGACATAGGAAAGAGCATGTAAGCTGTAGAGGGTGAGCCCACGGTGCTGCTGGGGGCCGGGAGGAAGGGCGAGTTCACCTGAGAACGGAGCCCACATGGAGGGGAAAGCAGTGGTGCCCGTGAAGGAGGGAGAGTGGGCTCTGAGGCCAGTGTCAGCCTCTCGATGCAGCTGTGCCTGAAGACCCTTTCTGGACATGACAGTCGTGAGCGTCCACAAATTCCCAGTTTGCTTACGTCCCTAGAGTGTGTGGACAATGGAGAGGGGACAGGCACTTGGGAAGCCAGCAGAGTGGCCAAGCAGCCAAGGGTCCGATGAGAAGGCGACAGATACTTTTCCAGGTGCCCAGGTGAAAGGAACTCTGCGAGGTCTCCCGTGGCGGCTCTTTGAGGTGATGGATCCGAGCAGAGGAGGAGCGTGACCTTCACGAGAACAGGACCTGAACCCTCGTGTCCTGCCCTGCAGGAGTACCTGTCCACCCAGAGACACATCACTGGACAGACACTTCTGCTGTGCTGTGAGAAACGCGAAATGTTTCCCTGTTGTAAAAAATGTATCTGATGGATTCCAATATGCACTTTCCGGGTCATTCACTCCTTTTTCATAACTTCTTGTTTCATCGCCATGAAGCAGCCCTGCATGGTGACTGTGTATTTGTTCCCTGTGGCCCCTGGGAATGCGCCTTTTCCCGTGTGTTGACATCTCTGAGCTGCAGAGTGGCTTGTGGTCGGTGGTGTCATCAGGGGCGCTGGAGCTGTCCTGGAGGGGCCAGGGGGGCCTGGGCACCACCTCACACTGAGCTCCCTGCCACCGAGTAGTCCGTGTGCTGATCCAGGTGTCTTAAATGTCACTCTAAGGGCCTTTGCTGGTGGCGCAAGGGGTTAAAGAGCTGCACTGTGAGGCTGTCCACACCACTGCAGCATGAGGCTGATCCCCATCCAGGGAGGTGACCCGCATGGCACAGCAGACCTCTCCTGTCTCGCCTGAATCTGCCTGTGCTGCTCCCCACTCTCACCCCCAAACCTCTGGCTGTACCCCAGTTCTTGTATACATAGCTAAATACATCTTTAAGACGAAATGTCTTTTAAGCAGTTTTGGTTTTGATTGAACATGTAAAGCAAGCAGGTGGTTCTCCGGTACTAGATGGAACAGCACAATTTGACCTGATGTCGGCAAAGAAAATAAGCCTTGCTAGGAGGGTGGCGATGAACCCGTGTTTTCCCGCAACGGGGTCGCCAGGTGCTTTCCAGGCTAGGGAAGTACCAGCAAGTATTTACTCATAAGTGACACACACAGGCTTGATGCAGTGAGTGTGTGCGGCTGGACGGAGTGCTGGCGGGATCCAGGAGGCTGCACTTGGAAGATCTGGGGGATAGAAAACCTCTGTACTTTGCTCATGTTTTCCTTTGAATGTGCGTGCAAGAATGCGTATGACAAAATTTAGGTCTAAGTGAGGCTAAGAGACAGTGCTTTTAAAACTAAAGCCATCAATAATAAGCACCCCGTTATAGTTTCGTCAGCAGTGTTGCAGTGAGAGCAGGAAGGTGATGGCTACAGCTCACAGACCCAGGGCCCCAGGAAAGTGTGCCAGAGCGGAGCCGCCAGAGGGAGTCAAGAACCGCCCAGAGAGCCTAGGCAGCCTCCCACCCCACTTACAGCCCAGACAATAAGGCCCAGGAGATTAAAGAGCACCAAAGCAGGGGAGGCAGACCCCGACCCCCAAAGTAGCACAACCCCCTGGATCCTCTCCCTCCCCTCCCCTCCACCCAGCACAGTGGAAAGGGAATTGACCTAGAAACTCTTGCCGGACCTATGAACCAACACCCTGTGTACCCCAAGTGCCTGAGTGCCTGTGTACCCCGCAAGAAGGCATGCAGCAAGCAGCCCCTAAACCCCATTAAAGCAGGTGGCCCCGCCTTTCCTTGAATTTGCTCTTCCCCGAATCTCTCTTCCCTCGGGGTCCGTTCACTCTGTGCCTAACATAGTTTGCTTTGCTTTGCTTTGCTTTGCTTTGCTTTGCTTTGCTTTGCTTAGCTGTGGCTTTGAATTCCTCCCTGGCCAGAGTCAAGGACCCAGAAAATCCAAAGCAGAAGCGGGCCGTATCTTCTTCATCTTTCTTAGCAGTATTTACAAAATCGGACCCCTTAAAATTGAGTGTGCTCAGGTTCAGGGCTGTAAGAAACCCCAGCTCACTGTAGAAAGGTCTCTCTACATGCAGATGACACAGAATTAAGTGTAAAACGTTGATAAAAGAAAAGCTTGTGCTCTACTTACTGGATCCAGGGGCTTGGACCGGGCCCAGGTCATCACCGTGGATACCAAAATAAATACCTTGCGCTTTTCAAAACGGCTGATTTCTTCACTCAGTGCTGCAGGGCCAAAAAGCACAGGGTTATTCGGGCCGGGCCCAGCTTGGGTCGGGAGAACATGTGTCCTGTTACTTAGTGACCCGCCAGCCTAAATGGCTCTGGCCTCAAAGTGACCCCTTCTGAGGGGAGCAGCTGGGGAGAGCAGTGTCAGCCCTGTCTGTCCCTCCTCAGGTCTGTTCTTGGCGATCTCCCTCCCACCGACCCTGGCTCAGAACTGTAGTCCTTTGTCTCTCCTGGACAGCAGCAGTGAGTGCTCCCTTCCCGCTGCTCCCGCGGCACTAACCCAGGCTGACTTGGACTAGTGGACTTGTCTGGCCTTGTCTTGGGGGCTATGGACATGGGTGCTAAGATGATCCCAGTTTTACAGATGAGGGAACTGAACTCCGATTCATGGAGGTGTGCTCTCTCCATTACACCTCAGGGCCAGTAGAGCTAGAGCACCCCTAGAATAGGGGAGGGGAGGGGAGTCTGGAGAGGCCCCTAATTAAAAGGTGAGGAGCTCTTAGATTTTGCTACAAGCAGTTCTATTCACTTAAGCTGTAGTGAAGGTGGACAATGTCCACCCACCTGCCCCATTCCACCTGGCTGGGAGCATGGCCTGTGCCTGGGGGGACTGGCAGGTATGTGTGTGTGTGAGGGGGGTTCTTAGTGGGAGAAAGAACCCCATCAGGAGAGAGTGGGGGATGAAGACCAAAGGGTGAGTGTGGACTCCTAAGGCCCTTATCGGCCTGCTCTCCCGCCTCTGGACGCTGACTCTCCCGGACACTGACTCTCCCGGACACTGACTCTCCCGGACACTGACTCTCCCGGACACTGACTCTCCCTGGCTGCGTTCAGCGTGTGATCCACTAAAATATTCCTCATGAGGCTTCATTCCTGCGTAACATAATCGAAAGTGAGGTCTAACTTGCCAGAGGAGCTAAGGGATTCCTTATTTAAATAAACAAAGCCAGAAAATGCTGAAATCCTGAGCACAGTAAACCCAGATCCCAACCCTGTGATAAGCAAGTAGTCTGAACGCATCTCCAGCATTAGGGCCAAGCTCAGATGTTAATTTCAGTGTCTGTTTCCTGTCAACAGGCATGGCCTGCCTTGAGCCTGGCTGCTTACCCCCGCTGCCCGTGGTGCTGGGCAGCCTCAGCTGTCCCCTGGATGGGCTATCCATTTTATTTATGATCGCTTTAGCGAGTCTGAAATGATCTGCTTGTCCACTTGTTCAATCTTATCCAAACATGCAAATGTTTTCTCCCACATCTAACACTTTACTCCTTTCTCCTGTGTCATTTTGGCCTGCTTTTGCCACTAATCGTGAAAATCAAGGCAGGAGAAGTACTTTATATTAAAACACTTATAAGTATTTTAGTATTATTAAGAATCGCTGGGGGGAAGGGGCGTACCTCCTGCCCTCCAGGTTTTATCTGCCCCTCTAAGGTATTTCGGGGACTGGTCCAGTCATTGAAACATCATTGGGAAAAAACCTGCAAGCTGACCATAGATCAGGGCTCACAGCAGGGGTGCTGGAGGGAGGGGTGACGACAGGGGCGGGAAGAGCACTGCAGGAAGGGGCAGTTGGCCCCTGGGCCTTGCTGGTGGGAGGAATACAGGGCTGCACCTGAAGGGGTAAATCAAATACTGTCCAAAGGTTAACAAAGGTGTAAGAAAAACAGCATCAGACAGGACCCTCCCTGGTGGCGAAGCGGGTTAAAGCAGCACTAAGAAGCTAAAATCACTTTTGCCTGAGTTTGATTCCCGCCCTGGAGGTGACCCACGTGGCGCAGCAGACCTCTCCTGACTGCCCACTGTTCCCCTCAGCAGCGTACTTCATCGGTGGGCCTGTTCTGCTCCCCACTCTGTCTCTGGTGAAGCCTCTCACCACCTCTGGCCAGTACCCCAGTTCTGTATGCATCAATAAATAAATCTTAAAAAAATCGATTAGCTGGGACTCCGCAAACCACCTTTACTTACATGCACCTGACTTGGCCTTCCTGTCTCTCTTGTAAAGGGCGTTAGGCCAGTTTTCCTTAATGGTGGAAGATTGAAGGCAACTATTAGCATTATGTGACATCATTTGATAAAGTACTTTGGGAACTAGAAAATAGTCTCTACAAGTATTAACATTTGAAAATTGTTTTTTTCCTGATTATTTAAAGGTCTTCATTAGAACAAAGAGGGAAGGAGTGAAACATACGCTCTTAGTTCAAGCTCATGAGAAGAAATGCTGTGTCACCACTGGGAAGCAGCAAGTTCCCTGCTGGGCTGTGAGGGCAGGAAGCCCCTCTTCCCAGGAGGAAGGCAGTGTTTCCCCTCTGAAATTCACAGGGGACATCAATGCAGGCATTTAAAGTATGAAAAGGAACAAGTAGGTTAAATGAGGTTCTTCTGAAAATACAGGGAAGTCTACCTTTTGATTATAAGCCCTATCATCCTTTTTAATTTTCAAAATATGTCCATATTTTATTTCAGAAAAAAATAAAGAAAATTGCAACTGGACAGTCTTTTAAAAAAATCTATTTTTAAAGGAAGCCTGGCACCAAAGATAAACAGGGAACATTTGCTGGGATGGTGGTTTTAGGCAGCGGGACTATTTCAGAAGGCAGTTACCAGCATCTGCAAATATTTGCAGAGGGTCAAAATGCAGGAAGTAGGTTTCAAACAGGTGCGTGCCAAGAGCTGACACAATGTTCCTGTTTCTGACTTGTGGCTTTACAGAATGAAAGTCATAACCCAGGAGCCAAATCCCCACACCAAGGAACAAGTCCCTGAATGTGATCCAGCGGCTCCTGAGGCTCAGCTCTGTTTCTTTGAATTTAAGCCAAACTAGTTATGCTGTTGGTCTCTCAAGGGCTGCAAAGTTCAACCTGCTTTGCAAATCAAGTTGATTGGAATCCAGCCTCTTCATTTATATATTGTCCGTGGCTGTTTTCTTGCAATTATGATAGAGCAACTGGCTAAAAAATTATTCATTCTCTGGCCTTTTACAGAACAAGCTAGCTGGCCCCCAACCTAATTCACTTAAAAAAATATTGAAGTGTTAAAAATAATACTGAAATGTATGGTGCTCAGTTTCCTTGGCTGTCCCTTCCAGCCTGGAGAGATGATTCATTTCAGTTGATTTGCTTTTCCCTCTGTTCCTGGCTTTAAGAGATGAGTCACACGAAAGTACCAAATTGCTAACAGCACCTGTCCCCTTACACCCAAGGTCCTTAGGATGCTTTATAGTTTTCAAAGTGCTAAATAAATAAATAAATAAATAATGAAACATTCCTGCTGCCCTTCCTGATCTTTGCTACAGAGTATTTGTTTAAGCTGATCAGAGCCTCACACAATTCCTCTCCTCTTGAAGTCACATCCCTCCTGTGATCCCCGACTCCCCTCTGGTTTGCTTCCTTAGCTTTCCTTTAGAGAACATGGAGGGTAAAATAATTTTTTTAAATGATTTTTTTCTTATTCTTTGCATCTTCCCAAAACATTCAATCTTCTGTCAGTGCTTACAGCATGAATAAAGGCTGAGCTTTGAAAGTTAATGACCTCTTAGGGCTTAAAAAGATTCCATTCTTTGGAAGCCCCCATTGTCAGTAGGCTGGGAGGTCCCCAGGGAAAGGGGAAGTTCCAGGTTCCCTGCCCCACCCAAAGGAGGGAGGAGCTGAACAGGGAGGAGAGGAATCTGGAGGGAGACTGCAGAAGAAGGAAGCAGGATGGAGAGCCAGAAGGAGAGAGGGAGCCACAGGGAGCAGACCCATGTGAAGAAGCAGCTTTTGTTTCTTGGTCCTGGACTGGGTGAAACAGAGTGTGTGAGAGACCCGTGGGGAGGTGACTATGGCAGCGTTTATCTTGGTTTTGATGTTGCTCTTTTCCTCCCAGACTTGTCTGGCCATTTCTGACCCTGTTCTATTGGTCCCTGCCTAAGGTGCTTTAGACTGTGGCAGCTTTCAGGCCTTGCTCTGGGCCATCCCTTTTGGGTAGATTTTTACCCCAATCTACCCACGTTTGACTTAGAACCTATATTCTTTGTCTTTTCTGAATTGCACACTATTGTATCAAAGTTCCTTTTCACTAAAGGTCTTACGTTGTGTCTTGATGTGGCAGATGGCAGAACCTATTTAGAGCAGGCAGGTTTGGGTGCTCAGGGGTGGGTGCCCCTCTTCCTGCTCTGTCACAGTGCTAATAGCTCCGCAAACTACCTAAGCAAGCCAAAACCTAAATTTACATAAAAAGGTAAGAAATCAAACCTAAGGACACCCAATCAAAACAGCCAGTGAGACTCTTCCAGATAAGCTGACACTTCCTGACAGCCACCCAGTCATTTCTGTGCTTTGCTTCCCCTGTGATCCACACAGCCTCTCCTTGCCGCCTCTGCTGGAGGCTGCTAACCACTGGCAGTTTGGGGCAGCCCAGTTCAAATCCATTTATTTTCAATACGCTTCCAAGATTTTAACCCGCCTCCGTGTATCTGTTTGCACCACCCACAGGCACAGTGACCGGCCCTATTTCATTTCCTGTTTCCTTCGGTTCCCTACTGCTCAAGGAGACGCCTAGGCCAAGTTAAGGCACGAAATGAGTGTCGCTGGTGGGAAAGCCTACACCCCACTGACCAGAGACGGCCCAGACCGCTTCTTCCACCTGCTGCGGGTTCTCGGTGATGTTGTAGATGATGACGTCACACTCCAGCAGGCGCAGGAGCAGGTCTTCTCGAGAGATGGCCTGTGAGAGGAGATTGACAGTTGTTTGCAGCCAGGACCCAACAGCAGTACAATATTTACTTATTTATTTATGTTTAAAGATTCATTTATTTATTTATGCATACAGGATGGGGTACAGGCCAGAGATGCGGGGGATGAGAGGGTTCACCAGAAACAGAACAGGAAGCAGAACAGGCAGATGGATAATGTACACTGCTGAGGGGAGCTGTTGGGAGAGGTCTCCCGCGCCATGTGGGTCAGCTCCCTGGCGGGGGATCGAACTCCTGTTCATAGTGCTGCGCTTTAACCCATTGTGCCACCCATATTAAGCTGGGCCCAGCTTAATATTTAGATGGAGGGACAACTTCCAAATTAGGTAGGCTGCACTGAAGTAAGCCACAGGAGACTTGCAGAGAGATTGCCATTGAAAATGGAATTCTGACTCATGTGTGTAGTTTTCAAGTAACAAAGAAGTTTATGAAATGGCTGGGCACCATGATTAGAAAAGTGTATAATGATCTTAGGTACTGTTTCTATATGCTACTTAAACCCCAAATTAGAAGGGAAGCATTAATACATGCACTGGAAGAAGACAAGCCAGGCATTTAAATGGAACTCTATGCAAGATTATTTGAGCAATTAAATGTCTTGAATCACTTAGAAATGTTGGTGAGTGATTAATGTGGATTGTTTAAGAATCCCCAAGATGGAATTAATTGTCTCCTTTTCTAGATAAAAGGTAGCTTTTGACAGTTGGGAATATTTTAAACACACAGAAACTTTTAGTGGTTAAAAAAATATGAAGTTCTTACATCAAACGAAAGTAACTGGTGATCATTGTAGTTTTTTTTAAAAATAGTTTATTTTTACATCATTTTGTGCCTTTTTCCATCTCAGTTGTAATCCCTGTGGGCTTCCCATCACCAAACTACCCATGTGCCATCACCATAGTCCAGTGCACTTCCCCCCAGCCCCATTTTTGATCCCATTTCCCACTCCACCCCTGTGAAAATGTCGCTGGTATATAGTTGTTCATCGTTATTATTTCCACCCCCCTCCCCCTGCCGGTCCTTTACGCTCCTGCTATGAGTGAAACCATCCGGTATTTTTCTTTTTCTTTCTGGCTTATTTCAGTAAGCACAGGTGATCATTGTGTTTTAATGAGTTGCTCCTGACTGCGTGGATGGTGGCACATTGCCCAGTACTGCGGTTCCACTGCTGGGTATTAGCAGAACCACAGAGGAGCCTGCTCTTGGTATTCTCATGTCCCAAGGGTCAGGTGTCCACGCGGCTCCTTGACCAGGGGCTTCTTGTTTAGGCACCCTCTTTGTGGAGAGTCTTGAAGGAGCATGGGATTGGTCGGATGAGGGGGGAAAAGGCTGTTCCAGGGAACAGCATATGTAAAGCTGTATGACAGGGCTGGGATGTAGGAGGCAGGCTGGTGGAGACGTTGGTCTGGAGGACACCCTTCCCTGAGGTACATTTAAATGTCTCAGCTGAGGCCCGGTAGAGTGTCTCACATGGAGGCCAGACTGTTTCTCCTTACAAGTGCAATCTGATGGTATGTTTTCCCTGAGCGGCTGGTGACCAAGAGGGTTCTCTTTTGCAGACATCCCCACCAGGCCCCCGTGTGGTGCTTGGGTAAGGCAGGGCAGAGTACTTTCCTGGGAACATCTAATTCATCCCTTTTTCTTTATAAACACGAATCACAATGTTTATTTGAAATTCTAACTTATGACAAGTGTACCCTTTAGGGGTCCTTCCTCCTTAGAGACAATTAGAAAAACAACAAATTCAGGTGTCATGGGGACATGCAGGTCTCACTGTTAAGGACAGACTGGCTGTAGGATCAGAGGCAGGGGAGGGGGTGGTGGCGGGATTAAGCAATGGTCATGCCATGTCATATCAAGTGACATGACAAGCCTGTGGGAGAGGGGGCGGGGCGTTCTCCAGCAGCCCCTGCTGCCAGCGCCAGGCCTTGGGTGAAGAGGCCATGGGAGGGAAGGGCCTGTCTTGCAGTTTAATACTAAGGGGTTTTATTTTCTCCAAGTCTGAGAACGGCCATCCCGTTGGCTACTTCTTTTCCCTGAAAGTTTAGGAGCTCAAGTTTCCAAATTCAAAGTTGATAGAAAAGGAAACCCCATTTTGTGTTTTTAGCAAGATCTGCCGTCAAAGGGAAAGCAAACCACAAAGCTTTGCTTAAATGTTACTCTTAGAGCAGCACTCATAGTGGGAAGGAGCTGTGTGGGCGAGCGCCTTCTGACAAGCCGGCCCATGCCTTGTTCCTCCATTCTGAGGCTGAGGCGGTGAAGAGGCGGATGTGAAAGCCCGCCAGGAGGCAGGAGGCAGGGATGCTGCTCCCCACCGGTCGGCGGGTGCCCCTGAGTGCCTCCTGCCAGAGTACCCAGGAGAGGGCGCTTCGACGGAGAAAGAGCAAACTCGTCAAGAACCCTGCCCTGTGCTTGTGCCAACGCCAGAAGATGGGAAGGTTGGAGGCCAGATTGGTTATCTCCATCATAGGTGCAGGAGAGGGCCTCACCCTGCCCCCCAGGAACCCCCAACCGTTTGCAGAATGGGTGGAGCTGCTCCTGCGGAAGGGAAGGCGAACAGAGGCTGGGGTGACACTTACGTGGTAGGTCTCCACCGCGAATTTGGTCTGGGCGTTTTCCGCCTGGGACACCGTGCCCACAATCTGGAAGGTGCCCTCCTTCAGTTTGACCGAAGAGGCATCTGGGACGATGGGCTTGTTTTCATCTTCCTCTTCTTCCTCTTCTGTAATTTCTTCAAGTGACGCCCCCACGACACAGTTGGATAGAAACTGCAGGAAAACAGAAATCCCCCCAACACTAAGCACAGCTTACAATATGGCGGGCTGGCTAGTAGTGGCTCCCAGGCAAAGCTCTTGCTGTGTCCACTAGCGCCACTGTGTCATCCCCACGACCCAGAGAAGCGGGCGCTGAGGTGAGGGCCTTTCCATAGACAAGACCCTCAGGCTCAGCCAGCTTGAAGAACTCGCTTAAGGATGCTGCACTGTTCTAGCATCAGGCGAGCTTGACTACTGGCAGGTGTTTGCCCGGTTCATCTAACAGAATTGTAGACATGCATGGGATCCATGCGGGCAATTTAAATTTGCTTTTAGCCACATCAACTAAAGTAAAAGAACCAAGTGGGGTTCATTTAAATAAGGTTCTCATGAAGCCATTATCTCCAAAATTAATGTTTTAATCAATTTAACATGTGGCCAATATAAACACTCCTAATGAGACCTAGGCTGTATGTCCAGGCCCTGAGCCCAACTTGCCTTGTGGGTGTGGGCGGGGCCCTCCTCCTCCTGAACCTCAGTTTCCCCTCATTTATAAGGACCGACCTGGACTGGAGCGCCGACCACACATGCGGCTTCCAGGTGGGGCGCTTGTCTATTGTGGGTGCGGGCTGGGTCCAGGCAGCACGGGCTGTGTCTAGGATAAGGGACTCTCCCTTCGGGGACAACCTGACAGCGCTCCGTGGTGCAGGCACCCCTGGGTTTGGGAGCTGGGGGCGGGGGACTGGCAGTTGGGGGCGGGATTTACTCTGACCTGCCGCAGCTCACCTTCCCAATGTTTCCGCTGCTGTACGAGTCCAGCAGGTTTATAAAGACCCTCTGGATCCGGGTAACTTTCTCGGTGGGGCGAGCAGCTTCCTCTTCTTCAGCCATGGTGGGAGCCGCGCTGGTTGCTAAGGAGAAAGCGTCCCTTTGGTTGCCTGGGAGGTGGGGCGCGCAGACCCCGTGGGCGGGGCCCAGGGCGCAAAGGGGCGTGGCCTCCAGGGAGGGGCGGGGCCTCCCTTGGCGCGCTCCGAGGACTCTTTCCTTTTCTTCGCGCCAAGTCGAGTTCTGGCGGGCAGAGTCTGCGTCGTCAGCGCGCGGCAGAGCGCGCCATCCTTCCGAGCCTCCCCTGGGCGTTGCTTTGCGATCTGTTTCCTTTCATGTTTCTTTCAGAAACTCCCGGAAACACGTCTGGGTGGACTGGGGGTGCTGAAAGGTAATGCCCACAGCCTAGACCTCCCGGCCTAGACCGTTACCTTGTAGGATGGTCTGAGCTGGGGGCTATGATATAAGCCTCTCCTGCAAGGGAGAGCTGTCGCGAGACAGTTCCAGTTCCAGGACACCCAAAGGGCGGTGTGTGGGGTCCTCACCGTGCAGCCAGTTGCTGCCTGGTTACGGGGTTCCACTAGCTTAGGAGTCGTTTTCGTGGGGGTGGTGGGATGGAGGCAGCTAGAGGCCATTTGTACCGGAGATTCACCCACATTCACAAAGGAACGGGATTAGCTATTTTGCTCTTTGAGTTTTTTGGATGGCAGTAGATAACGCCGTTGGCTAGATTAATGGACAAAAGAAAAGACCAAGTCTTTTTGATCCTGGAGAACTACGAAAATATCTTAGAATAGCTTGATGCTACTGGATTATTTTTGTGATCTAAACATTAACTATCTAGCATTTGCAGCAGTTTTCATTTCCCTGCCTCTAGTACTGCTCCCCGACCTTCCCTCCCCCCCCAGTGCTCAGAGTGGAGATGACTTCCCCGCTGTTGGGAGGCTCTGGACATCCAGAGATTGGCTTTGCGTTTCAGCCCAGCAGTCCCTTGTGGGAGACTGGGACCATGTTTTAACCTTCCCCAAGCTGTTATATTGGCTGTTGCAGAGCGGAACCACCAGTTCAACAGTGTGGTTAGGACTACCTAAGACATAAATGGGGGAATTCTCATTCTTTTATTTTTTTTTTGTCTTTTTTTTTTAAAGACTTCACCAGTTCTGGGTCCATTTGAAAGAAAGTTAAACTAAAGACAAAACGAAATTCCTAAATCGGAGTTACAGACCCATCAGCAACCTGTGTTAGATGTTTTTTGTCCTTTTTTTAAATATGTCTCATTAAAACTTTTTTCGATTGGATAAAATAATTTAACACTTTGAAATTTTGCAAACTCAATTTGGGAAGTTTTCTCATGTAAGCAAATTTGTTTTTAATCAACAAAAAAGTGCTGTTGATTTAAAGGTTATTCATTGCAAGACCAGTGCCAAACGAATATATGGTAGTACTTTTCAAATGATTTATCATCACTTCGAATATTCTAGAATTCACGAGCCTTTAGTTCCTGGTTTCAGCATGTATTGCTGCATATGGATACACAGTCAAGCACTTTGAAAGCTATTCCGTGGGTCTTCCTACTATAAAATATAACTCACTTTTGTTTTCATTCTTGTTTACAAATACGAGAGTAACAGGCAAGTGAGCTAGCACCACAGTGACAAGAGGGTGGCTTCTAGCGAATGTTCTCTCCAGCCCACAGAGTAGGAGATTCTGTGATACCAGTGAATGCATCTCTTAGTAGTTCCTACCCTCTGTCAGCTTCCAGGGCCACAAATTCGGTGATGCCTTGGAGCCCACGTACTGCAGGGACAGCTGGTGGAGTCAGATCCAAATGTGCTGCTCACAGGTGGGCTGCTTAACAGTCCTCAGTCTGTTCAAGTCTCAGCTACATCCCCAAAACAAAGGGGTTGAAGGCAGAGTGGTGAAGTCCATGTGGTGCTTTATCAGAGTCTGTTTTCCTACCCTGCCGCTGAGTAGCCCCATGGCACATTTTGTTTTGAGCCCTGGAATGTGTGGGGAGATCAGTACCCCATTAGCTGCTAATGTGCTGTGCAGGAAGTATAATGATCCATTCCGGACCTGGCAGAGGGATGGGAAGAGTGCCATTATGGGAAATGAGGTGTGCACTCTTTTCTCCTTTCAACCATCCTGCCTCCTGAAGGATCCTGGGAGCAGCCCCAACTCAGCAGGCTTCATGCATTTGCTACAGGGAAACATGCTGCAGCTAGCTTAAAACCCTACCTATTGCGTTTCGCCTCCAGTGAGTACATACCGGCTAATGTGGAAAATGTGAACAAGTATAAAGGAAATGAGTATCGTTTACCGTACCACTCACTGATGCCAATGTGGGAGATTTCATTTTTCCAACATGATTATTTTTCAAAATTATTATTTCATATCCTTTGTCCTCAGATGTATAATTTTCCCCAATGGCCAATTTTCTCATTTTCTTAAAGAAGATTTATTTATGCCTACAGAACTAGGGTTCAGGCCAGAGGTGCAGAGACAGTAAGAGGTTCACTAGAGACAGAGTGGGGATCAGAAAAGGCAGATCGAATGAAACATACTTTGAGGGGAGCAGCGGGCAAGACAGACAGGAGAGGTCTGCTGCACCATGTGGATCACCTCCCTGGTTGGGGTTCGAACTTGTGCTGCAGTGGCTGTGGAGAGCCTCACAGTGCTGTGCTCCTACCAGGGAGGGCCCAATTTTCTCAATTTTTAATGGCTGCATATTTCCCCATCAAAAACATGTGGTGTGACTTAACCACTTTTTAAAGCCCTTCCACTTTTTCATTAGAGAAAGTGAACATCTGCATAGTGTATCTTCTGCTAAGTCATTTCCTTGTGCCAGGACAAACCCGGGATAGAAGTTCCAAGCTTTGTAAAGACTGTTACCAATGTTTTCCAGAAAATTTTTGCCAATATATCCTCCAAGGGGATGTAAGAGTGCCCCTCACCAAATCCTTCTTTGAGACTATAAAGAGAAGTGATTAAGTGAAGTGGCCCAACATTGCTAGAGCAACAGCTGCTTTCCAGTCAGGCTGAATAGCTTTTACGTGGTTGCTGGACGCTTGTATTTATTCCCGAGTTGTTTAATCATATTTGCTTTTTGTTCTCATTTTTTTCTTCCTGATGTTGTTTGTTTAGAGGTACCCTACCTTTGGGCGTGAAATCAATGCTTAATTCATCAGGTTAAATTCTTTAGAATAGGTAAAGGGCCTCCCTGTTGGTACAGGGGGTTAAAGTGCAGCCCTGTGAAGCTGTCTGCAGCCCCTGCAGCGTAAGTTCGATCCCCAGCCAGGGAGCTGACCCACATGGCGCAGCAGACCTCTCGTCTTCCCGCTGCTCCCCTCGGCAGTGTATTTCAGTAGATCCACTTGTTCTGCTCCCCAATGTGTCTCTGGTGAATTTTCTTACCCTCTGTACCTTTGTCCTACACCCCACCCAGTTCTTATGTGCATAAATAAATCTTTAAAAAAAGATTTACTAAAAAAAAATAAAATAGGTAAAATGAAGGTTTTAATATCTAGGGAGAGGCTTAATGTCTGTCTTCCCTGTTCCTCTGTCAAGGTAATAAAAGAACTCATTGCATATTATGATGTCATATCATGACGAACCAGCACGACATTCACAAATGGAAACGGAGGCTCTGGTAATCAATCATTTATCACAAAGCAAAGAATTTGCATTTTTAGACATACAATCATGTTTCTTCATACTTAACTCAAAATGAGTAAACAGAATTTTATTCAAATTTGACAAATATCCTGTAGAGTTAGCCTGAGATTAAGCATGAGAAAGTTCAACCTGAAGTTAGACTTCATTGCCCAAACAGCTAAGCATCTGGAAATAAAGCCGAGGATGACCATGCAGCTAGCTGGCAGAGACAGCGCACTCCAGGGCGACCTGGCAATGAACAGCGGCCCCAGTGAGCAGGATTCGCTCTGGCCCACGTGATCTTCAGAGCCCGAAAAAGGTGCAATTATTTACTAATGATTAAAAAAGTCCGCAAATAACACATTTATGAAGGTGTGTCCAGATGAAGAATTTTAGTTCAATATTTCTATAGCTGCTGCTTTAGCATACTATCAAAAAAAACAACTCCCCAATCCTTATTATTCAAATGTACTTGAAAACATTAGCAGCGTGGTATGTATAGTTTATTAACTTCATAAATTTCAATGCCTGTAAGAAAATATAAAATACAGAGTCTTCCTTTTCAAATATTAAGTTTCTGAATGCTTCATTCATCCTTTGGTTTCAAACCCATACAATGCACTCATATTACATTGCAGATTTAGCATAGAGACGAACACTGTACGTCTGTGGGGAAGAGGGACGCCGTGGGAATACCAAAGCACTACATTATAGAGAGTAAACATTGAGGCAAAAATACTTTCTCGATATATACTGTACATTATGTAAACAAACATTCAGAGTAAGAATCAACACAGGCCAAAATATTGTTTTCTAGGAGATCAGAATCTCCTTCCTTTTAAATCACACATATTGAAGATGCCTTTTGTTACTAGGAAAAGAATAGAACCTGTTCCTACATTTGCTTGTGTGCTTAAAGATCTTGGAAACAAGTAATTATTACATTCATTTGCTAATGGTTTGTCCTCTTAGCTGGCTGGCTTTTGCAAATAAGGAATACAGAAGGATTTCAGTCTGTTTTTCATTTAACACTAGCTAAGTAATATATAGATAATTCATGTTTATCAGTCCACATTAATATAAACAGATTCAGTGAAACAGTGATTTTCAAAATTTGTGCAGGGGAAACTAGTTGATAATTTGTTTCCAGTAAGGCTAGTAGCAAAATAATTACTACAAAGTCAGTTCAAGCTAGTAGTGGACCCCTGATTTAGCAAGCTGAATCAAAGTTTGAAGTTCGGTCATTTTCATTCCTAAATTACTGTGCAAATCTAGAATTTCCTATGTAAAAGACAGTGCTGGCAGCATCAAAGCCCTGTAATGACAGAATGAAACACTGATTAAGTTCTGAATGCAGAGCTACTATAGAAAGAAATCTGAATGTCTTAATAATGACAGTGTTACAGCAACCGTTTCAGGATTCTCTTAATGAATCAGACACAGAAAATGCCAATTCATTAATCAATAATGTTTTGAGTCAAAAGCCTAAGCTTGAAGAAATGATGAAAGACAGAAAAGCAAAGATGTATTTTCTACTATGATCCTATGCAAGAACTTTGTCAAGCCTTACTTAGTACCGGCAGCAGCCCCTTCTAGAAAATAAAAAGCTTAGTCATGACTGTCCATCCCTCTGCAGAGCTTCTAGTCTTTGAAGGAGGGCGTTTCCGAACGCTTCCCGGTAAGCAGGGCTGAGCGTGTCCAACAAGGAGTAGACCGTTTCGTGGTACGGGGTCTGCAAGTGACCATCCACCTGGTCGAAAGCATGACCAACCACCTACGAGAGACAGCAGCAGTGAGCTGGAGTCAACAGAAAGCAAAGTCCGGTGTCTGCGCAGCTCCTCCTCTAGCAACAGCTCCTCATGGGTAGGACGGGCACCTTTAAATACCTCTCTTATTGAAGCAGTTTGTAACACGACTCATACAAGCAAAATGCTCTCATTTAAAAGGTTTGATTTACCTACCTGGTCCTGAGGAAGAGAACACAAAGAATTTCAAAAGGTCCACAAAAATGAGCCCTCATTCTCATAGTCTAAACCATGCTCTGCGTTAACTCCACTCCACGGAGGGTCTACTCTGTGAAGCATTATGACAGGTAACACATTGTTAGGGCATATTTGTGTCTTTACTTAATTTGGACTCTTCTGATAAAGAATTGCTTAGCAGCTTCCTTCTGGCTTTATAACCAGCACGTCACCTATCTGACAGGGAACGAATGCCTCACTCAGCCACATGAGAGGGCACAGTGTTTTGCGTGTTTCCTCTTTCATGACAGCCAACAAGATAACAAGCTGTCATGGCTGGCCAGCATGATACAAGTGCAGTTAGCTTTTATGGCTGTGGGTAAAGGGCATCTCCTGCATTACCACGACACTAATTAAGCCAGAGAAGACACAGATGAAACAGGAGTGGCGCTTTTGCTGTTTTTAGTGCAAAACAGACCTTGAGCTCAAGGAAGGTGAGCCACACCTCTTCAGACACTCTGGCCCTCCACCCCCTGGGCCCTGTGCTTCCTGGTGAACAAGGGTCACCAGTATCTTGTCCTACTCATGGTTTGATTTTCAGTTCCTGGCACGACAGCTGCTCAGGAAATGTTCCCTGTTCTGGACTGAAAAGGCTAAATATTTAAGTACCTACAATCCAGATCTTTCTGGATTATTTTATTCATATAATTATCCTCCTTATCCTGACTAGTATTTTTTCTTTCAGGTTTTATAGATAAAGTGGCTGGAATTCAGCAAGGTTGACTAACTCAGCCAAGATGATTAAAATCTCACCGTTCAGGTATCTGACCCTTTCTCACCACAATCACTTCTGCATATAACACAAGAGAGAATTAATTTCCCTGGGGCTTTTATCTCCATTTTCCACTTGCCTATTTCTATTAAAGATCTACTTCTGAAGACTTCAAGCTTGCAGTACAGACCTAGGGAGTTAGCCAAAAATCGGTTACTCAGGTACCTCTCCCCAGCCAAGCAGCTCTCACTGCAGAAGCGGCCCTGGGCCTGCAGCGGCTTCTTGGAGGTGACCCTCACTTTGACGCAAGCTGAGTCCAGTGACTAGCCCTGTTCCTGTTGAACAGGACCAGGCTATCCTACTTCAGATACTGCACAGCTTGTAGGGAACATCAAACATACATAGACAAAAAGTCGGAGATCTCTGACCATAACTGGAGATTAACTAACTAGTAAAATATCACTAAATTGTGGAGTTCCTGCAGTCTACTCCTTGGCTTGCAAGGTCTAAGGCACCACCTGCTCTCAGGGCGTGCTGTCTGCCGCTGTGAATGCAGGACTATGACTTAGAGCACGCTGAGAGGCCCCTGCCTGGGAAGGCTCACAGGCGCTCAGGAGACTCCCAGGATAGAGAGCCAACCGGACACCCTGGGAAATTTGGAGGTAGATGCTCTGCTGTGACTGAATTCTGATCTAACACTAGAGAACGGAGGCGTCAGGTAGTTTGCTTTAGCAGAAGAGACATTTAGAGTGGAGGAGAAAGATCTGCCAACCCTCACTGCAAACTCAGCCAGTGCAGAGGCCTCATTTTGGTGGACATATTCCGCTGCAGACAGAAACAGTAATTTGGGGGGCGATGATCAAAACAATAGAACACTTTGCACAATAAAATTTTTTCCTTCCCCCAAATTCTATTTTTAAAATTTAAGAAAACCTTGGGAGTTACTGAGTGTTGATGGCTCTCTGAACACCCTCCGCCCACCTCCTCCCCATAGCACTCCCCTCCCCTCCCATGGTAAAGTAGCCCATAGCAGAATTTTCCTCCTAAGAAGAAGAAATGTGACTTACCCTAAGGCCTGCTTCAGTGAGCTCCAGGCAGTACCTGGCCCGCTCCCGGGTCTCCACATTGATGTACGCCACATCATCCGCACAGCGCAGGGTTTTAGAGACGAACATGTCATTCACGGCGAAGAGAACATCATTGACCACCGCCTCCGCTTCCAGCCGCATGTCTTTCATATCAGTTCCTTCAAAGCCATTAAGCTCTGAATCGTCTTCCAGTCCTGACATACTGCTGAGCTCCATGTGATTACAGTCTGTTTCCATTCTGCAAAACGGTAGTGGCAGAAGTTGTTTAGAGACAGAACCCTCCAGAACGACTCAGAGTAGCTAGGCCTTATGCTGCCGGGGAGCCCAGAACAGAAGGAGCAACTTTTAGGAAAAATACTGTCGCAAACATCTCCAGCAGTTTTTCCACAGTAAAACTGCAGAAAATTACAGATTTTCAAGAAAAGGGTCCTACTCTTCCTGGATGGATAAATTAGCTATTCAAAACAATGTCTCAGTAGAAATTCTAGTACGTCTTTTTAAATGTCTTAGCTATTTTTCTAGGATTCTTAGAAATGGAATTGCTGAAAGTATACGTTCCCTTGACACAAATGAGACCTATTTACCATTCCCAAAAAGGCGGTTCAGCAAGTCCTCATTTAACCTTGATGACTGGTTCCAGGAAAATTGATTTTTTAGGTGAAGCCTCTATGAGGGTCTCCATTAACAGTGGCTTTCAACCTTGTGGGTTTGTGTTGTTTTTTAAAGAGGTTTTTATTTTATTTTTTTTATTTGTGCATACAGAACTGGGGTACAGGCCAGAGGCTCAGGGGCGGTGAGAGGCTTCACCAGAGACAGAGTGGGGAGCAGAACAGGCAGATCGAGGAACACTGCTGAGGGGAGCAGCGGGCGGGTCAGGAGAGGTCTGCCACGCCATGTGGTCACCTCCGGGACAGGCGGGAATTGAACTCATGAGGAGGCGGCTTTAGATTCTCAGTGCTGTGCTTTAACCCGCTGCGCCACTAGGGAGGGCCAAGAGGTTTTTATTTAAAAAAAAAAAAAAAAAAATTAGTTATTTATGCACACAAGAACTGGGGTACAGGCCAAAGGTGCAGGCAGGGATGTGAAGAGGTGGGGTGAGAGGAGTCACCAGAGACAGAGTGGGAAGCGGATATACTGAAACACACTGCTGAGGGGAGCAGTGAGCTAGTCAGGAGGGGTCTGCTGTGCCATGTGGGTCAGCTCCCTGGCTGGGAATTGAACTCAGCTGCAGTGGCTGCAGATTAACTTTGCAGTGCTGCTCTTTAACCTGGTGCTGCGCCACCAGGGAGGGCCCTGTGGCTGTGTTTTTTGCTCATATATATTGATATGATGAACACTCTCACTGCACGGATGCAAGCAGAGGACTGCACTCTTAACCACTTGCCAATCCTTTCTAATGTATTTGCAATCAGAAAGAAAAAGAATGTTTTATTGTTTGCATATAATCTCTTGATTAAATGCCTTCTGCACATTTACAGGCATCTTTAGCTATTAAAAACCCAGAAGCTGAAATGCACCCAGCCACCTGAGGGCAGGGTTCTGGTCGTTAGCCACCAGCACGTCTCAGAGGCGCCTCGCAACTTATGGACTTGGGGTTTTGCTTATCATCTTTCCCATTTTGTGATTTTATTTAAAAAACAAATTGTATTTTCATCGTAATTCTCTATACCTCTTTCTCCCTCCTTGACTTTCCTTTTATATGGCATAGGTTTGCTTTCCAGGTGGGGAACTATCCCACCGCTGAGTGACACTCTTTCACCACTTATGTGAGCGGGCCCAAGCACGGTAACCTGAAGATTATTACTCCCTGTGATAACTTGATTCAGTATCACTGTGAGGCTGCCAGCTTCTTTTCTGTGACCGGGTGATAATGGGTATTGTTATAATTCAAAATACATGAATGAGAAAAGTTAGCAGGTGTGAGATTGCTTAGAGTACAAAATGGGCCTTTCAAACAACATGCTATGTTTTCTTTTTCATTGTTGGGCTTTAAAAGTGAAGACTTCATTTCTCTAATATAAATTAAGAATTCATGGTTTTGAATGCTGTATGGCTCCCGAACCATCCATTACTAATCTAATTACCTCACTAATCTATTACCTCACAAATACCATCTTTCCCCCAACATTACTAACTTGTGCCCTATTTGTATGTTTAAAATCCTCTAGGTGGTTTTCAAACTTCACCACAGACTCCAGAGAAATGGGATCAAAATCTGGGAAATTCCAGTGCACAGCCATTGCTCAAGATTACAAGCAAACATCTTAACAAACCAGAATTCTCCAGCTACATGCTATTAGTGCATTATCCAAGTCAAACTATTTACTATAAGCAATTTATGGTAAACTAGAAAGCTATTTCAAAAATGTACAAGTAATCTATTTCCCCAATCCTATTTCAACTTATGTGTTAAAGGTCCTTTATCTTGTCTCTGAAAGCACTTTACAGAATTAGTTACTACCAGCAATACAAGTTAAATGTAAATTTATCAATTATTTTCAGAGCAATCTGTCAGATAACTGACATCTACTATTGCCTTACTGTAGAGGAAAGTGAAAATACTCAATGTTCTGGGAATTTTCCCTTACTCTGAAAAGAATCACTATATTCCTTAATATGGTATTTGGTGTTACTATAAGATGAACACTTTTTGTGTAAAGTCAATTTTAAGGTTCTGCAATGTGACTGTCCTCTATAAATAATCTCTTAACCTGAAGAATATCAATTATTTGTTCAAGTAAACTGCAAAGTGCTCAGTTATGGATGATAGAAATAATCATGATCACACAAAAATGTGAGAAATCTTGACAATATATACAAAATTTAAAGAGGCCCTCCATGCTAGGGGCTCAGTCTCAGCACTATCGCTGCTGTGGCCTTAGTTTGGTCGCTGGCCAAGGAGCTGACCCACTGGCACAGCAGACCTCTCCTGACCCGTCCGCTGCTTCCCTCAGCAGTGTATTTTATCAATCTGCTGGTTTTGCTCCCCACTGTGTCTCTGGTGAATCCATATCACCATCCCTGCCCCTCTGGCCTGTACCCCAGTTCTGTATGCATAAATAAATAAACCTTTAATTATATAAAAAAAGAAATGCCAGCTGCTGACCTTCCTCTCTCCAATCCCTTTAAGGTGGTGAATGAAACCACTCTGCATTACTCAGCTTCACTGGGTGTCTCTCGCCACACAGAGGCATACACGCTACCCAAACATACCACCATGCTCTGGGGCGACCCTCCTTGACCTTACCGGCAGGAGAGCAATGCCACCTGCACAGGCTGAGTCAGCACTCGCCTCCTGTTCTGAAGCAGTCACGCGGGAATCTGCTGCCAGCATGTCAACCAGCCTCTCCATCCCATCTAGTGACCAAAGAGCCCGAATACAGAAGATTTCTGCCAAGAGCCCGGCTTGTTGGGCCATAGCACATGCCAGCAGCGCATCCTTTTGCGATCCGGGGAGTGAGTGAACCCTGGCATCTGCTCTCCTGCGTGCACAGGGAGCACCAGGGTATCTTAAGGTCAAGGTAATTTAGGGACTCAAAGGATCTTAGCCTACAGGTGGGGAGGGGCAGCCCCTTCTCCCAGCGGTCCTTAAGGACAATCATTGTTGACACCAACCAGCCACTGCTCCTACCTATACACACTAAACTCAAACTTGTGATTGCTGGAAAACTATCAGAGTAAAGCTGTCAGACTGCTACCAGCAGCAAATCCTCATTTTGGTGATCTGATTTATTTATTTATTCATACAGAACTGGGGTACAGGCCAGAGATGCGGAGGGTGAGAGAACTCACTAGGGACAGAGTGGGGAGCAGAACAGGCAGATCGATGAAGTACACTGCTGAGGGGAGCCGCGGGCGGGTCAGGAGAGGTCTGCCGTGCCAATGTGGTCACCTCCGGGGCAGGCTGGGATCGAACTCATGCAGAGTTGGCTTAAGCTTCTAAGTGCAGTGCTTTAACCCACTGTGCTACCAGGGAGGGCCCATGATGTAGACTTATTTCAGTCAATAATATTCTTAAGACTTCCCTCACCCCCTTGTCAGTATGTCTGATATGTATTTCACTATTTGCCAGGCTTGAGGAACCTACACAGGGGTAGGGAAAATTCCCCCTCAGCGCCTTCAGTTTATTGCTGGTCAACAGTTACATAGGGGACTTGGGACAATATTTAATACAAAGTACCAACATAAAGCAAATCGATATCTAAAGAGATATAAAATAGAAAACCTCTTTGTTGGCCATTTAAGCTGGAAATTGGCTTTCAACCAGGTTCTGAGCACTATTCTATTGCCAACACTTTCAAACTTTGGAACATCTTATAGGTGCCAGTAGTTATCCTGGTAGATGGCATCCTCTCATATAAAGTTTCCAAAATGACTCTGAAAAACTGACAGGCGTGGTCTCTTTACTTTAACAGGATCAGAGGGGTAATGTTGGAAAGCAATCCGGGAAAAAAGTTATGCTTGGGCAAGCTGGATATGATGAATAAATTTACGATAGGAATTTAGAAATAACCTTTAACACCAAATAGTGTATTTACGTACAACTCTGTTTTTTTTAAAAAATCCATTAAAAAGATGAGCTTTCTTGGAAACTGGAGAGAACTGTTTAGGTAAGCTATCTTAGTAATAAGATTTTTGTACTTTATCCAAATAATTATAAGCTATTTGTCATCAGGCTTTGAATATTTAAGTAGCCCTACTCTTTTCAATCTTCAGAGTTAGGCTTTGCTTTTTTCTGATTGTTTGAATACTTCAAAAGAAATCATCCCCTCCAATTATGTGAAAACTACTGACCTAAATTATAAGTGCAATTGGTATGCTGAAATACCAGGGAAGCACTGTCAAATAAGAAAGGCAAAATCTCTATTTCTTTTTAAATCCACTGTCTTATCTTGTTTACAATACAGTTTGTATGTGCACGGACATATAACATTCATATCAGTTACCAAGCATATACAATTCCTGAAATGTGGGTATAATGGTTTATTGACTGTTGAGATCACAGTACTTTAAGATTACTGTCTAATTTTAACTTACAAGTCTCATGACATCAAACATTGCTAAGTGGGGTGGTTATTATGTTAAATGTAACCCTACAGCAGGAAATGACCTATAAAACGGAGAGACATGTGACTCCTTTTTAGCAATTTGTGCATGTATGTATTGTTAAGTCTATACACACACTCTCATGTTACATGAACATATAAACATTTTAACTTTGTTGACAAAAAATTACTT